TCACATAGAACTAACTCCTGAAACTGTTTGCAACCAACCAATTAGCTATTAAATTAGTTGGCAACTAATTTGTTCGTCAATTTTAGTTGACTAAGTTGGATAATCGTTGCACCACTAGTCCAGAATCCTGCCACTAATTAAGGTGGAATGAGAAAATTCGAACAAGAAGCTGGTGAATAGGAAGCCAACTTCATCCTCGTCCTCTTGCAAATCTGAATATAAGATAATCTATATGTTTTGGTTCTTACTACTTGTTAGTACTACTGAATAACAGACTTAACACCGTACATTTGGAAAGTAGTCATTGATTGTGTTCAACAGTGCAATACTGGTGTCTCTGCCAAAGTGCTCAGCGTATTTTTTGTGAAACAAAGCTCCTTAAAGTCGTCAATCTTTGTTTAATGGAACGGCTCTTTTTTACCAACCAATCACAGGCTTTGTTGCGTACTGTCTTCGAATGTGGAGTTTGTCCAGCTGCCATGTGCACGATACAGCAAACGAAGCCTCCAAGTAACGTCTGTGGTTGTTCGTTTTCCACGCAAGGCCAGGCAAATGTCACCTCGCGAAAAGTAAGCTGAGGCCTTACACAGAGTTTGTGAACTGCCTCTAGATAAGCTAGACCAATCAGAGGCCACTAAACCTCCATGTCTTGTGACATCATAACCACAACTTACTGGCAGTCTGGCGCACTACACTGAGGAGTCAAGACTTAAGCCAGAAAAGGTCGATACTCTGGTTTTCTTGGCCAAAAAAAAGGTCTGAACTTCAATTTAGAGAAAATAATCGCAATTTAAATAGCAGTCGCAATATTAGTCAGAAAAATCGCAATTAGGTATTTTCCCCATACTGTTCAGCCCTGGTGCAGATCTCAGAACTGCAATATGCTAAAAATGCTATCTCATCTGTGAAGCCATCACACAATCGTATCAGTTACTGGAGCTAAGAGAAAACACAAAGCTTAAAAGAATTAGAAGTTTACTGTTCCACGATTTCATAAAGCAGCAGTTATATGTTACTACGGCTCCACTTAAGGTGGAACGAAAAATTTTCATGAGAAGCTGGCCAATAGGAAGCCAACCTCAGCTTTGTTGAGAAAACAAGAGTGTCAGCAGCTACTTATTGTCATAGGACTCAAGCAGCCACCAAGTGCCGATGCTGAACGAGTGAAACAAATAACTCACCCCCCAGGGATGGTAATCTTGCACCTCTATTGAGTTGTAGAGTCTACCTCTATTCGGTTGTGGATTCCGCAGTTTGCTGGAAGTCAGTGAGTTACGTTAGAAAATTCCTTCAATCACTCATTTTAGTATAACTGTCAGTGTCACACTCCTTATACAAACACAAGATCAGACTGTAAGTGAGCGTGAATGCTCAGTTCTTTAAATACTGAGAAGCAGCCTCACAGTTCAGTGTAAGCAAATATGCAACAAAAGTTTGCAAGCCTTTTCACTACGCTTACCTCACCTGTGTGAAGACCTGTAATCAAACTCCTGACTGATATATCTCTCTATTAATATTTTTAATAGATTTTTTAAAATCAAAAGTATTTATAAGATACATACAGCTGGTTAGTAGTTGGCTACTGATGTTCATCTGACACCTTCCTCAAACAAAGTGAACAGTCACCTCTGTTCACTCCAGTTTCATTTGCTCAACATGCAAATTTCTGTCTCTGAGGTCTCCACACTGTCTGAAGCCATCTTGCTAGTTTCCTGCTAAACTTGCCAATCAAGGAATCAAGGGATTTGTTGTTTGTTCTTCTCCATGTAAAACAGTATGTCCTGAAATGTCCCCGATGAACTGGGGCCATAATAGGCCACAACACACTCCACACGGAACCAAAAAGGGACATAAAGGATGCCAATGGAAGGTTCTTTAAAGAACCATCTTTGATATGAATGAGTGTAAAAAAAAACAAAAAAACTATTTCAAAAGTTCAAAGACGCTCCACATTCTTAAAATCGATGGTTCTTCAAGGGTTCTTTGGTACAGAAATGATTCTATATAGAACAATGAACACTCAAAGAACCCTTTACATGAATAAAGGGTTCTTTGCATCATGAAAGCGTTCTTCAGAATGTGTTGTAGATGGTCCTGTATAGAACATTTTTGAAAAGCGTTCTATATAGCACCAAAAAAGATTCTGCTATTGTTACGATGTCAAGCTTGTAACAATAGAAGAACTGTTTTTGGTGATATATAGAACGCTTTTCTAAAAGGTTCTATATAGAACCATCTACAGCACATTCTCCATCAATCTGAAGAATCCTTGCACCATGCAAAGAACCCTGTAATCATGCAAAGGGTTATTTGAGTGTTCATGGTTCTACATAGGACCATTTTCTTTACTAAAGAACCTTTGAAGAGCCATCTTTTTAAGTGTGCACACAGTGTAAAGGTACTGTATTAAATGCGCCTCTGGTCAAATTACGTTTGATTGACTGTTGATTTTCTAAGTAGGGCTATGGTATATGGTATTTTATAATTTATGTTTTATTATTTTCCAATATGTTAAACTTAGCAAATAAATAGAAATTGTGCATTAAAATTAGCAGAAAAACACCTTATTTAAGCCTGCAGAGGAAAATCAATAAAAGCATGTAATTTGACCAGTATGTTCAAATTTTTTGCATTTGATCATTATTTCTAAACTCAATTCATGTATTAAATATTATTCAACTACTTTAGGGCTGCATGATAAATTATATTTTTAGCGTCATCATTTCCACAATAAACACACAGTTAAGGGTTGCAATGACAGAATGGATCAAATAACCTCACACAGCTAAACAGCTGTTACAAAACACCCACAAGCACAGCTCAAAAACTGAACTACTACTGTACAAATGCTTAGAATGTGTGACTGTTGTCACAACATATCTGCATCATCATAAGGAGGACTTCAAGGAACTAAATCTAATATTTATTTGTGTTATGTAGCCTGACTGCTAAATCTGACTGCTGGAATCCTGGCGGTTTTTAGACTGAAGAACTCACGTTTAGCAGGATACAAATCCTCCACAAGGGGGCGCCATTAGCTGTCAGCTTTCGATTCGTCATTAGAGCAGTGCTTCACATCAGCTTCTGACATTGTCTGTGGAGCCCTACAGTGCACCGTAAGGGCACTCTCGTACAGAAAGTTAGACCGTAAATTGCTGCAAAGCTCCAATGTAGGCATGTTTTTTCTCTCTAATTTCTAAAAACCTAGGTCATAGCAATGCAAGGGATTGCTTAAGTGCATTAATATTTTTCTTAGCACAAAAAATTTGTCAATACAGTTTAATGGTCAAATTAATACTTTATGTATGTAGAAAATTATTGGCTTAATTCCACGACAAGAATACAATTAAGATAAAAGAGCACTGAAACTACATCACATGTGGGCGATCTTGTCTAGTCAATATCTGATCTGTTTGGGTTTAGTGTTAATAATCCCGTAAATCATGCATCATTACTTAACATGACAGATGAACTCACGAAAAGTCATCCTGATCACAATAGCCAGCGTCCAGCATCCATCAAAGCCCAACAAGAACAACCCTAATCTTACACTACTTCTCTACTGCACACTTGCTGCACAGTCCACAGCCTTCAGTGTTACACAGAATCACTATTTTGACACACTATGATTTCCAGCACTCGAAACTGAGCCAGTAATCACAAACTCCAGTCACACTCTCCTTTCTGTCTGCAAGTACAGGTCATTTATATTTTGCACATCCAGTTTAAGCCCAACGCATCTCTGTGCATGCAGTCAGTCTAGAGCATCTAAAGTTGTGCATTAATGCACAGGAAAACAGAAAGTGTGAGAGTGTGCGTGCAAAGTGCACTGAGGTGCATTAAACAAACGCTTCAACAACGCTGCTGGAAGCTCCTCAGTGAAAGCAACATGTAGAACGGCACAGCATTCAGAATAAAAGTGAAACTCGCACAAGGGTCTCTGGCTCGTTTGAGACAAATACGCTGGCGCTGCCTCATGCAAAACTTTATCAAATGCATGGAAAACAGGGGAACGCAGTAATGCAATTTAATTTAACCATATTTGTATAGAGCTTTTTCCACAACTCAAAAAGGAAAAAGCCTCTAAAAACATGAGGAAGAACCACTGAGAGGAACCAAGACTCAAACGTCAAAATTCTCTAAGAACCAAGAGGAACCAAGTCTCAGAGACAATAACCACCAGGAGGAACCTACAGTCAGAAGGAAAGACAGTCAGAATGAGAAAGAAGCACTGAGAGGAACCAAGACTCAAAAGGAAGAACCTCCTAAAAGCATCAGGAAGAAACTAAGAGGAACCAAGACTCAAAAAGAAGAACCACCAGGAGGAACCCAGACTTAAAAGAAAAGGTTCCCTAACAGAACAATGATGAAACTGAGAGAGACTAAGACTCGAATGGAAAACATTCCCTAAAAGCCCTGAAAGCATGAAGAAAGAAGCACTGAAAGACCAAGACTCAGGAGGAAAAACTCCCTAACAGCAAGAGGTGGAACACTGAGAGGAACCAAGGCTCCAGTGGAGCCCATCCTCCAGTGGATAGTGCAGTTAGTCTATAAGTAGGACAAGTTAATAAAGCAGATTAAACAGAGGCGCTGGGATCACAGGCAGGAAAGATCCGGGAGATCCAGGAGTGATTACTGTTAAAAGTCTACCAGAAAACTGTCTGAAAGAAGATGCGGTGGACTGTGGACTGTGTCAGACACGCGCAGGAGGGCAGGAAAAAAGAGACAAATGTATTAAAGCAACTAAAGCATGTTGTGAATGTAGAACAGCGACAGTGATGCAGGTGAAGGATGCACTTTAAAAGCATGCATGCAACATGCACTGTGCAGTTTCAGCTGCAGCACACTGCACGCGCGCGCGCGCGCGCGCACACACACACACACACACACACACACACTGCTCAGGTCCGCGGTACCGTCGCGCGTGCAACACCAACCGATCGCGCACGACAAAGATTGCACGAGGACCAAAAATTCCCAGAAAAACCAACTCCACTTACCGATACACACCGCTCCCGACGAGTGCATATATCTCCTCCACTTCTCCCTCTTTTCTTTCTTTCTTCTTTTCCCTTACACTCCTCTCTCCGCCATCTTCCGTGCTGTGTTTGTTTAAATGAGAAACACTCCCCGAGAGCAGGCAGCCAGCTTGTAGTCCGCCGCGGGGCTTTCTGGGTAGTGTAGTCCTCGCTACAATGCCTCGCAACGCCGACAGCTGCAGAGCGGACTACATTTACATGCACACGCGTCACACTCGGCGTGAAGTCCTGTGTGCAGACGGCTGGCAGCAACATGCCACGGTATTTATTTATAGTCCAGTGAAGCTGATGGGCAGCCTGACAGCACACAATGACCTGTACCTGAAAAAAGAGGTGGGCAGAGCCCACTAACGGGGCTGTGTTTCTGTGTTTAAGGGAGATTGTTTAGGAGCGGATTGCAGTGCAATGTGAAAAAGAAGGTAATGAATTGGTTGCCTTCTGTAAGTTATATATACGATGTATCATAGCAATTTATATAAACAGTAAACTAACATGTTATTTATAATGTAATAACACTGTATATACAGTCAAATGGACATAAAGTGCAAGAAAAAGAGAAAGTAAGCATATATTTAACAGGAAATAACACAAAAAGCACAAGAACTAAACATAGTATCGTTTTGTATGGACGTCGGGAGAGGCCATGAGTTGTAGCTATAATTTTCTGGATTGTTATCCTGAGATAACGAATTAAATTTTTTTGTGATCTCAAGACAACAACTTGAGATGTCGAGATAATTAACTCATTGTTTCAAGATAACAACTTTTGTTATCTCAAGATAACAAGACAACTAACTCGTTATTTCAAGTTAACAACTTTGTTATCTTGAGATCGCAAGATAATCAACTCATTATCTGAGGATAATAACTTGTTATCTCGAGATAATAAGAAAACTAACTCGTCATTTCAAGGTAACAACTTTGCTATCTTGAGATAACAAGATAATTAACTTGTCATCTCAAGATAACAACTTTGTTATCTTGAGCTCACAAAATAATTAACTCATTATATGAAGAAAATAACTTTTATTATCTCAAGATCACAAGATAACTAACTCGTCGTTTCAAGACAACAACTTTGTTATCTTGAAATCACAAGATAACTAACTCATCATTTCAAGATAACAACTTTGTTATCTTGAGATCGCAAGATTATTAACTCATTGTCTAAAGATAACTTTTGTTATCTTGAGATAACAGGATAACTAACTTGTTATTGCAAGATAACAATTTTGATAACTACCTTATGGCCTCTCTGGACTTCTGTAGTTGAGTGTCCCTTTATTATAGCTTCCATTCTTTTCAGGAGACTCACATTCAGTTTCACAAAGAAATCTGCAGACACACCTCCAAGGTTCAGTCTTAGAAGTCGGTTGATCATTTTCTGAAGTAATCAAACACATTCAGTAATGTAGGGGTCTGGACTCTGGGGTGGTCAGTTCATTGTTCTGAGAACATCAGCAGCTTCTTTGAACTGATTTGCAAATGTTTTTGTCTATTTCTCGGTAAGTAATAATTTTTTGAACTCACTTTTTTTACTTTGATGTTCCCCTTCCTTATGAAGGTGGATCATCTTGCATCTCATAAATATCTCCTGAATGGAAATTAAACAAATTAAGGGTGATTATGAAGTAGTTGAATATTATAAGGGAAAAAATCATTAGTATTATTGTCAAACTTACACTTAGGTCCATATTAAATCAGGCCTTCAAAAGTAAGTATAACTAATAATATTAGGTGTCTTAAAATCTCAGAGAACTATGTGAATGAAAATATCATGTTTATTCTTTTTATTTTTTGCAGGTACTTATGGAAAAACTCCATAGCCAGGCACTTATAATCCACATTAACATTACATTTACATTATTTATGCACTAATATCTGCTTACTGTGAGACTGAGAGAATTGTTAAGTGCTGGATTTCTGTTTCAGCTGCTTGAAATGTATCCTTCAGGCGTATACAGTAATGTATTACTGCAGCACTTAATGTAGTCAAATGTGTTACCTTGAACATGATTATGTTTATTAATGCACCTCATATTGATGCATAATAAAAATGGTGTTGATGAAGATATAGCTTACGCTGCCCACAGCTGCTCTGTTTAAACCTCTGTTCTGCTCTGTTTTAACATATAACTCTGTTTTGTCATATAACAATGAATATATGATAACACAGCACTGTTTAAGGCAAAACCTTTCCCTTTATAAGTACTTTTTGGCCCAGCAGCGCCCCTCTTCTCACGCTGGGGCTAAATTTAAAATGTCTCCCTGCTCCCTACATAGTGCACTATGTAGGAATTTAAATATTAGATCCTACACCCAAAGGTGCAAAATACAGCTAAGAAATAGTCATTTGGGACTCAGTTACATCCATGCTTGATAAATGATGCACTATTTGGCTGTAGACGCTAGAATTTCTAAACTTTCATAGCTAGCACACTATTTAGGGAATACAGGGACGTTTGGAATTCAGCCTGAGGTTGACACGACTTCTGACTGAAACATGAACGTTTGAAGCATGTAATCCGTTCAAATGACATTTTTAGACTTATATACTGCTGATTTACAGTTAATGATACTGTAAGTACTTTAATTCAAGCATGTGATATTAATGATGGAGTAGTTTAGGCTGTTGTTTATCTTTTAGCCTGTTAGTTAGCTGACCAGCCTAGTTCTAGTTAAGAACATAAGTTGCCAGCCTCCCAGTTTAAACAAGAAACTGGTTCTTACTTCATCAATATACTCCATGGGAGCAGGATGAGAGTCAAAGATTATTCTGTTAACAGCACAAGGGTTTTTTGTGTCGTGGCGCAGTGATACACAATTCAGTTGTTGTGAGGCGGTCATAGTCGTGGCATATCATAGATTTTACAACAGCTTTGAACGCGGCTCAGCCAATCAGATTTCAAGACCAGAACTGTTCGTTTTCTAAACCTTTGCTGCAGTAACAGCTCTACTCTTCAGGGAAGGCTTTATACTAGATGTTGGAACATTTCTGTGAGGATTTGATTGCATTCAGCCACAAGAGCATTAGTGAGGTCACATACTGATGATGTATCACCCCAAATGCAGCCCACTGCTCCACAGCCCTTTGCTGAAGGGGGGGCTTTTTCCTTAGAAGCAGAGTCTGAATACTTTTGGACATGCTGTATGTTTAGGACAAGTAAGATAGTTCTAGCATACTACTTTACAAGATTTATCCCCAGTGAAACATTTTAAAATGCCTCACTTTATATTCGAACGTGACTTAACAATGGACTGAGCTCAAATGGTTTGTGGGAAATGAGTCACTATTGTTGGATTGTTGTTTGCTGCTGTCTAACTTGCAGTAATAAAAACACCATAAACAAATAAACAAATTGTCTTGAACGAGTCACAGCAGCCAGGTTCCTTAAACTGTTTCAGTAAACTCAAGCAGGTTTTACAGCGTTTCCTCCTTGGCATAAATTTAACATGTGAGAGGTCACGACGCTTCACATGTAAGAGCTTTTAAGAGTGTAGGATTGCACTTCCGCTGGTAACATCTTCACTATTATTACCCCCAGCAATCTGTCCTACTGTACCTACACAGTAAATGGTTCATGCTTCTTGGCCTGGACGTACAGTTCCAGGTGAAAAATCTTCAGTTGGTACAACGGCAGTGTGCAAAAGTTTAAGGGCTAAATGACATGTTCTGAACACACTTCTGCACATTTGAATGCACAATTTTTTTTTTAGTTTATTTGCTGGATATAACACACAATCTAAACCACTTATCCTTTTGGGTCACGGGGGGTGCAGGAGCCTATCCCAGTGGTCATTGGGCAGAAGGCAGAAAACATCCTGGACAGTTCATCACAGGGCAGACACACAGACATATACAATCACTAACAATTTAGCATGTCCAATTCACACAGACACGGGGAGAACATGCAAACAGAAAGGACCCAAGGCCCCCTGGCCGGGGAATGGAACCCAGATCCTTCTTGCTTAATTTTCTTTTCAATTTGTTAAATTCTGCAAATAAACAATAAGTGTGAATTAAAATGTGCAGTCGTGTGTTCTCTGTAGAGGATGTGTTCACTTAATTTCACTTAGAAAATCAACTAAAACGTGTCATTTGACTGGATGTGCTCTAACTTTTGCATACGACTGTAGAACATTGACATTATATAGAGATTCTTTGAACTTTAAAGTAGTTCTTCACTCTCACACATCACACTTACAGGGATGGTTCTTTCCCCTGAAAGGTTCTGTAGGGAACCAAAAGTGGTTCTTCTGTGACATTGCTCCACAGAACCCTTTTTGGCACATTTATTTTGAAGAAGATGTAGTCGGATATCTTTTAAGAGGTTAGTTGCAAAATGCTAAATATCTGTTTGTATTAAGAAGAAGTTTAAAAAGAATAACAACAGACGTTTATCAAAAAATGCATTTTTATTTTTCTAATAAAAGTGTAATAAAGGTATCAATCATAATATATTAATTTTTTGTGTGTAAAGCCTCCTCAAAAATGAAAAAGAAAAATTCATTAAGTGGCATTTAATGCATTTTAGAACAAACCTTTTCATTTAATTTGAGCTCTTTTAAGACAACAAATTGAAGCTGCACTGTGTAAATTTTAGGGCTTTGGAGACCTCTCTGGTGGAAATGTGTAATTGCACCAAATTTACAGAAGAACATTTTGTAACATGGGTTGTGCTTTGGATCCCTTCCCTGAGCAGATGAATCTGATGATTGCGAGTGCGTTGTAAGAGAATTTAAAGAGAGCTCTGTCCAAACTTGGTTAAGGATGTGTCTTCAGAGGATGTGAGTGAATTATCTATTTAAGATAATGTCATCAAAGCTTCATCAGTATAATATTGGTTTTGCAATTGAGATCTAAACATCGACTCCTTCTTTTTTGACCTTCTTTTTGAGCCTGTGCATGTGACATTAATACGTAAAGACACATGACGTGGCCTGAAAAACTCCTGACCCGATGAGTCCAATTTTCAAACGATTTTTTCAGGCTTTACAGGGCAACTCACAGCAGCGCACTCACCATATTGTAGAGTGTTTTTTTCCCCTCTTGACTCAGTAACACTACTTCTCTCACTTTAAACTAAGCATCTTATGTAGTGCAGCTTTGAGT